GTCGCTCCCCTCCTTCCCCCAACCTTCGCCCCCCCCACGCGCAACCCGTGCGCGACCCCCGGGTCCGCTCTTCCACCCTGCACGACTGTCGCCACCCCCACGTCCCCGCCCTATCATCATCATCATCATCATCATCACCAATCTACCCGTGCCCTACCTACCACGCTACCACCCAATCAATAGTAGATAGGATCGCTCCGCCCTCGATTTACATCAAAGTTCATTTTATTCATTTCTAGAATCCATTTTATCTTCTTTTTTTTTTTTTGTACATTTGAAAATACTCATTTCTTTCTCAAACGTATTTTCTTTTTCGAAATTTTCGAAATACATAGGATTAATCATTTCTTTCTCGGCATTTCTTCTTCAAAATTTGAAAACAAATTTAATTCATTCTTTTTCGAAATTTTATAATTCGAAAATATTATAGAATTAATTAAACTCTTTTTCGACATTTCTTTTTCAACATTTCTTTTTCACAACATTTCTAATTAACTTTTTATTTCCATTTTTATTTTTATTTTTATTTTTATTTTTTATTTTTTTTCGAAAATTTTGAAAATACGTTAGAATTAATTAAATTCTTTTCCGATATTTCTTTTGGGAATTCAAAAATAATTCTTATTAATTTTTTTTCCAAGTATTTTAATTCACAATTTCTTTTCGCATTTTTTGTTCAAATTCGAAACTCCTTTTACAATTCGGAAGTACTTTTCTTTTAAAAATGTTATTCTAAGCCCCTCAATAAATTTCGTCTAAATTCAATTAATTCACGACTGAATTCATCTCCTTATTCAAAATTAATTATCTTTTTTTGAAATGTCGACATTTTCCTTTGAAAAATTCTTGCCAAATATTTTAAAAATTTCCTCTTCCTAATTCTTTTCAGAATTTTTTTATATTTATTTTTTACCCATAGTTCGAAAATATTTTCGTTCGAAATTTCACGTTTTCTTGTAAATAAATTTAAATATAAATCAGAATTTATTTTTTCAAAATTAATTATCTCTTTCTGTTCAGCGTCTATTATTTTTTTATATCTTGGCAATTATCTTTATTTATACATTTATTTTTGAATTTATAAGGGATTGTCTCCCCCCATCTCCACATGCCACCACGCCAAACCAAGAACTCCCAACGTGCCGCCGACGCCGCCACTGCTGCTGCCGCCACCGCCGCTGCTGCATTCTCCACACACGTTCAGGCCATGTCCTCCACCCCCTCTTCCCCCGACATGGCCGCATCCTCCATCAACATGTCTGACATCCGCACCGACTCAGTCGATAGCATCGCCCGCAACCTCGCAGGCAAACAACCACCAGCAAACACCACCACCCCCGACCTCTCCGCCATCCTCCATGCACTCAACACCCTCCGAACCTCCGTCACCGCCTCTCTCGACGACATAAAGGCCAACATGTCGTCCATATGCGACCGCGTCGCCACAATCGAAGGGACCATCCCCTCCATCACGATCGTCACCACAACGCAAACCACTCCCTCCTCCACAGCCGCCTCCAGCAACACCCCCCCGCTGACCTCCTCCACTCCTACCACCTCTACCACCACATCCACCAACCCTTCAACCTCCACCATCCTTTTGTTCCCTCCGCCTCCTCCCTCATCCGGCGCATCCAGCACACCGCCTCATTCCTTGCCCACCAAAGTCACCCCTCTTCCCCCCCGCACTCCCAAACCCTCTCCCAACCCATCATGACCACCTCCACCATCCACCATCCGTCCCACCTATTCCCAAGTCACCTCCGAGTTTTACCCCGCAATGCTACAACTCCCCCCCAACTACCTCCTTGAGGACAACAACCAAATCGACCACACCTGCTACGACACCACCCCCGATAACCTCAGCTTCAACACCCTCGCGCAGATCGTTCACCGCGACGRRGAAATCCCCCGTTCCTTCCGATCTGGCGAAATCATGTCCTTCTCCGGCCTCCCCCACGAGGACGTTTTCCTCGTCCTAACCCAGCTTCAGAACTCTTTTCACCTCCACCACATGCCCCTTGCCCACTGGCTCCCCATTGCCACCTCCCGCCTCCTMGGCAATGCAGCCAAGTGGTGGATGGCTTAAGTTAGCAACCGCCGGGCCTCCATAGGACCACGTCACACCTTCCTCCAATGGGCCAACCTCCTCACTGCCACCTTCCGCCCCCAGAAAACCATTGACGACTACCTTGAACAATTCTGCCACCTCAGACCGGTCCCACGGACCGCTTCGTCCAATACGTCTGCTCCCTCCGCCACCACCTCCCCCACACCGTCATTCCTGACTTTGCGTTCATTTCCCGCATCAAAGGATTATGCCACAAAGACCTTGCAACAACCCTCGCCCACGAACCCGACATGCGTTCGCTGACCTCCTCTCTCGCATGCTTCACCACGATCGACTCCTCCACCCCCACCACCAGCCCCTGCCCGGCACCTCCCGCACCCGCTTTTTCCACCACATCACCCCCGAAGACACCACCTCCATCACTTCCTCAGACAAGGTCACCACACCTGACCCCGACGCATCTTTCGATTCACTCGACTCTTCATCCCTCACTTCCGAGGAACTCGATGTCGTCCAATTCATGAGAATGGAGCGCAGAGATCGCAGCTCCCAACCACCCTCATCTACCCCACCCTCCCGCCTCAAGAAACTCACCCCCGAGGAGCGCACCTACCTCCAAGCAAAAGGGGGTTGCTTCTGTTCTCGCCAATTGGGGCACCAACAAACCAATTGCCCCAACGCCGCACGATTCACCCGCCAGTCCGCCTCCACTCGACCCGCAACCTTCGCATCACCGCCCTCGACAAGCGCGGCCCCTCCTCATCATGAACACAGTCCCCAGGACACTGACCCGACATTGACATCTCGTATGTCGGCCCACCCATCGGTGACGTCCTCCGTCCCATCGATCGCCCATCTGGCATCGACAATTCGTTTGCCTTCCCCCTCTCCGGCGACGCCCCCTCCACCGGACGACTCCCAGGCGTTGCAAACACCTCCCACTGCCTCATGCTCCTCTACCCTTCTTACAAATCCATCCATTATCACCTTCTCCGCTGTTGCTGAGGAACAAGCCCGACACGATCGGCTTGTCCGCTTACGCAACGAACAACGCCGCCTCAACACCATCATCTCCACCRCCAACTCATCTCGTTTCCACCTCAAATTCATCGCTGCCACCCTTGGTGCATCTACAACTAAGTTTCGGGCCCTCCTCGGCATTCGAGCCACCGGTAACTTCATCACCGACGCGTGTGTCAGCAAAGTCGGTCTTACCTCTACCGGTTATGACTCCCCGATCACGATTCGCCTAGGGGACAAAGACATCGTCGTGGTAGTAGACCGCACGGTTCCCGAGACCATCATGACCGTCGGAACCCTCCGCAGCCAGGTCTCGTTTGATGTCATGCACTTGATGTGTGACATCGTCTTAGGAACCCCGTGGCTGGACCACTACATGCCATACGCATTCCACCCCAACTTCCTTCGCCTCACCAACCCCGCCGACACAACCATCTACATCCCCTATCTCCCATATCCCACCTCCCAAGGGTCTGTCACCCCGCACCAATTCCTCCAGATGGCTCGCCTAAACCCCCACTCCGCCTACTACTGTCTTGTCCTTGATCGCGAAAGTCCCAAGGACTTGCTCCCGACGGACAAACCCGATCAAGCCCCCCCCTCCAACCTCGCCATCACTTCACTCCTCGACGAGTTCAGGGACGTCTTTCCCGAGTCCTTACCTGACGGATTACCTCCAGATCGTGGCGTATCGAACACCATTGATTTGGAACCCGGACATTCTCCACCTTGCCGCCCTCCACACCAACTTTCTATCCCTGAAGCCGAAGAAATGATGCGGCAACTCGGTGAACTCCTTGAAAAAGGGTTTACTAAGCCAAGTTCATCCCCCTTCGGAACCAGCTGCCTTTTCGTCAAGAAAGGTGGAACTTCGGAACTCCGCATGTGCACAGAATTTCGCGCCATGAACTGGATCACGATCAAGAACAAGTACCCCCTACCTCGGATTTCCGAGCTCCTTGATCGTCTCCGTGGACCCAAGTACTTTACCAAGATTGACCTTCGCAGTGGCTTCCACCAAATCCCTATCCGCGAGGAGGACACCCACAAGACCGCCTTCCGCTCTCGGTTCGAGCACTACAAGTTCCTCGTGATGCCATTCGGACTCACCAATGCCCCCGCTACCTTCCAATCTACCATGAACCACATCTTCCGCAACCTCCTCGAAGTCTGTGTCGTCGTCTACCTTGATGACATCCTTGTCTTCAGCCCCACCTTCGAGTCCCACATTCAGCACCTCCGCCAAGTCCTGTCGATCCTCCGAGAGCAAAAAATTCTACGCCACGCTCGGCAAATGTACGCTTGCCGCTTCGAGCGTCGAATACCTCGGCCATATTGTCTCCGCTGAAGGCATCCGAATAGACCCCTCGTAGGTCACAGCCCTCGTCGAGTACCCCCCACCCAAGACCCTCCTCCAACTCCGTTCCTTCCTTGGCCTTGCCAACTATTACCGCCCGTTCATTCACAACTTTTCCGAGATCTCTTACCCTCTCCACGAACTCACCCACAAGGACGAGCCCTTCCATTGGAACGATCGCAGCCAACACGCTTTCGACTTACTCACGCAAAGCATCACCACGGCCCCTGTCCTTAAGATCGTCGACCCCACTCGCCATTTCTATGTCACCACAGACGCCTCCGACTTCGCCATACGAGTGGTACTGTCCCAACATTTCCCCCTCGACACCACTGAGACCCCCTCGATCAAGGACTCGCCCACTCAACCCGAGGCTCCACCTGGCGAATACCCCATCGCCTTCGCAAGCAAGAAGCTCCTTCCCGCGGAGATGAATTACCCCTCCAACGAGAAGGAACTCCTCGCCGTGATTCACGCCCTCACAGTCTGGCGCCCGTACCTCGACGGGCAATACTTCACCATCCGCACTGACAACACCATCGTCTCCTCCATCCTCTCCAAGAAAGATATCACTCCACGCCAAGCCCGCTGGCTAGACTTCCTTGCCCAGTTCACATTCACCATTTGCCATACCCCCGACAAAAGCAACCGCGTTGCGGATGCCCTCTCTCGACGACCCGACCACAAGCCCCCCAAGAAAGTTTACGCCGCCATGACTCATATTCAACTCCTTCCATCACTTTATCATCGATACACCCAAGGCTATCTCTCCCGCTCAGACTTCGCCACCATTTACAACAATCTCCGCGATCTTGACCCAGTTCCCGACTACTCCCTCCACAACAATCTCCTCTACAACGATACCAAAGGCACTCGCCGACTTTGCATCCCCGACGCACGGGGCCTCCGTACTCGGCTCTTGGCCGAGCACCACAACGCCACGACATCTCGGTTTCCAGAAAACCTTTGACACCATCTCCCGCTACTTCTACTAGCCTTCCCTACTCACCGACGTCAAGGCATACATTCGGTTGTGCCCCACGTGTCAAGCTGTCAACCCCTCGAACCGTGCCAAACCCGACAAGCTCCAATCATTGCCCATCCCAACTCTCCGGTGGCAGTCCGTCTCCATGGACTTCGTGTGCGGCCTCCCCAATACCGACCGTATCTACGTCATTGTCTGCCGCTTGGCCAAATGTGCCCACTTCGTCCCTTGCACGACCTCGCATAGTGCCAAAGACATCGCCACACTCTTCTTCGACCATGTTGCTCGCCATCACGGCCTCCYCGAGAACATCATCAGTGACCGGGATCCTCGCTTCCTCTCACAGTTCCGGAAACACCTCTTCACAACCAACGGAACCACGCTCAAGTATAGCACTGCATTCCACCCACAGAACCGATGGACAAACAGAGAAGATGAACGATACACTCCAAAGAATCCTGCGGAAGTATTGTCATCCACACCAACACGATTGGGATCAGTTGCTCACAGCCACCGAGATTGCCTACAACAACGTTGTCTGCCCCTCCACTGGCATGTCCCCTTTCTACCTCGACCTTGGCTACCATCCCCACTTGCCCTCTGATTTCTTGCTTCCCTCGCAGCTCAGCCCCTCCACCCCTTGCCCCTCTCTCAATGAATGGGTAGCAACAATGAACAGATTCCTAAGAGAAGCAACCGAAGCCCTTGAAAGAACACAAGAACAACAAGCCAACAAGACTAACAAACACAGACGTGACGTGTCATTCAAAGTAGGGGACAAAGTCGGGCTTTCTGCCAAACGCTTTGAACCTGAACAAGGCTTGTCCAAGAAACTCTCGAACAAGTGGCTCGGTCCCTTCCCCATCATTGAACAAACCTCTCCTGTGAATTACAAACTTCAGCTTCCACCTGACATGCGTCGCGTCCACCCAGTCTTCCACGTAGAATACCTCAAGGAATACCACAAATTCCCGACCCAGTTCGCTGACCGCCCTTATCCTAGACCTCCACCAATCATGCTTCCAACAGGCCCAGAATTCATAGTCGAGTCAATCATCAGACAAAGAACAACTCAAGTATCAGATCACCCGGAACCAATCACCGAATACAAAGTAAAATGGATTGGATACCGTGATGAAGAATCAACATGGGAACCCCTTGATAATCTCAGGAATGCCATGAAACTTCCGTGCCTATGATCGTGCCTACCCTGTATCCTAGCTATATCCTGGCATAAACCCTAAACCCTCGCTTGAAACCCTGCTACAACCTCGCAACCCTGCTCTACACACACCCTTGAACCCAGCCACCCTCCCCTTGACCCTCGTTCCTGATGTCTGATCTGTCGTTGCCCTCGCCTAGGCTTGTCCCATCTGTCCTCTCCACTACCTTGTCTCTCTTGTCCAATGCTTGTGAACCTGCGTGACGCCGGCGATAAAGGATCTAATGGCAAGCGCACGAGGACGATGGCCTGCTGCCTCACTGTTCACGGAGATTATGCAGCTGGTTTGGCCACCATGTTGTTTCATCGGCTGGCATCCTGACTCGTGGACTTACTGGAGCAGCAACTTGTGACATGGATCTTTGCATCAATCTGCGACTTCCTTGCTTCCAGATCAGACCTCATTGCAGTTCGTGTACCGGACGCACCCTAGCACTTGGACTTCGACACTTGAATAACTACTACGCTTCTTGGACTTCTACCTATTGCAGCTGCTGAAGACCGCTTCTACCACCTACTCCAAAGACCTGATCAAGACCGTCGCAGACCCCCTTTCAAGACACTTGGACACTTTGTTCCTACATGAGATTTTGTTGCCGACCCCTTCGTACACACCAGCCCTTGCATCCTGTACAAACATTTTTCATTTTTATTTTTCCTGACTTTGACAACCCTGTAGAACATCATTAGCAGATCCCTGTTTCCTTAACCATTGTTTCCCGTACCGACTAGAACATCAATAGACATCCCTGTTTCCTTAACCATTGTTCCCCGTACCCACTAGAACATCAATAGACATCCCCTGTTCTCCTGACCATTGTTTCCCTTACCTAGGAGAACATCAATAGAAGTTCCCTGTGCCCTAAACTCTGTTCCCCCTTAACCTATAGCGAACCATGCAGTCCCCTTAGTTCATCAGTAGGACCACCCTGCTCCCCGTCGTCCCTTTAGTTCATTTGTAGGACTACCCTGTTCCTTGCAACCCCCCCCCCCTAGTTCATCAGTAGGACAAGTCTGTTCACTGGTACCAAACCCTGTTCCCTCTTACTCCTGCAGCCCATGCCACCCACATTATACCCCTCTTCCCTTTCGACTTGTTCACCAGTGATCGGCCCCGTCCTTTCCTTCACAGATTTCAGCATTGCTTCATGATTTTTGGCAGTCGGGACGTTGCCTTCTAGAGGGAGGGGATAGTGTTACGGACTCCGCCAGGGCTCGATCCCTGGTCTATATTTTCGCTGTTTCGGCTGCATCCCGTTTTCAGCCTAGCACCCTTTTTCCAAACCCCTCCTTCGGTACCGTAGGATTTTGGACAACTGGCGCCATGCTGCAATTCGGGCGCCACTTTCAAATACCACATTTTTCAGTTCTGCCCTCGGGGCCTTTTCAGAAATGCCCCTGGTACCGTACGTGTCACCGGTACTTATACCGGCTCCCCGTACGGTACAGGGACCAGTCTCGTACCAGTTTTCTGCTGCTGTACTCGTACTCAGTGTGACTTGATGTTTCGGCATTCGGAATCCAAGGCTTCGACTTTGTGCTTTGCCGCTGTGTCTGCGTCCGACCCTCAGTCCGAGTCAATCGTGTCGAGTGAGTGAGTGTGTGTGTGTGTGTGCTCTCACTCTCTCCCT